GGGAGGGGCTGGGAATGGGAGCGGGAGGTGGGAATGGGGGCGAGGGTCTGGAGGTGGGAATGAGTGACGGGGCAGGGGATGACGAGGAGGAACGCAGGGGAGTAGGGAATGGGGCGGGGAATAGGGATGGGACTGGGATAGGGGAGGGGGCTGCAGTGCGAGGGGGCCTGGGGCGTTGGAGCAGGACATGGGATAGGGGCAGGGATGGGGCTGGGGGCTCAGGCAGCCCGGGCCGCCCTGCAGCGCGAGCAATGGGCACCCAGGACAGCGCAGCACTGCCCGAGCTGTTGGCACCCCCTCACTGACGTCACCCGCTGCAGCAGTGACATCACGTGTTGCCCCCCCCCCCCGTGGCGGGGGACCATCGGGATGCGGGGACTGGACCCGCGGCCGGAGCCTCCGCTGTCGCCGGCCTCAGGCTGAGGAGGAGACCAGGCCGCGCCGGGCCCCGCGGTTGTGCAACCCGGGCCGGGCTGGCGACCACCCGCGCCGCCGACGCCAAGACCCGGCCCGCGGCACCGACTGCCCGCGCTCCAGCCCGCTGGCCGCTCCGGGCCCGGTCCGCGCCCCGTAGCCGGGACGGGGGCTCCGTAGGGTCCCACCCTGCGGGTGCAGCAATCGCGGCGGGGACGTGGCAGGCGCAGGGCCGGGGCGGACAGGGAGCCGCCCACGCCCCCCCGTCACGGGGCCGTGCAGCCCCACGCAAGGCGCCTGTGCCCACTGCCCCGCTGGGCCTCGTGGAGGGGCCGTGCGGCTCCCCCCGCCGCCCCGGCCGGGGGAGGCCCTGGGGAGCTCGGACGGGCCCCCCGGAGCAGGGAGACGGGGCTGTGGGAAGCTCCGCACCGGGATGCACGGGGTACACCGGGGAGGGCAATGCCCCCGCATGGGGCAGGGCGCATTCCCCGCAGGGAGGCTGGCTCGGACGGCCCCCCTGGGACACGGTGGTGCAAGGACCCGGCCAGGAACAGGGGCCAACGCTGCCCGGGTCGCCGCTGTCCCCGAGGCCGCGGGCCGGTGCCAGCGGCGATGCAGCAGCGTCCCCTGGCGGTCCCGGTTCGGCTCCGCAGCCCGGGGACACCGAGCGCCGCGCGGGGCCACCCCTGCCCGCCCAAGGCAGGGTGGCCCCAAAGCTAAGCGTCCCCCCCAGTAATGTGCCCCCTGCATCGGCGTGCGCCCCGAATCTATGCGCACCCCAAGGCAGGGGCCCCCCAAAGCCAAGTGTCCCCCAAAGCAGCGCGCACCCCTAGGCAACACGCAACCCGCCGCGACAGCAGCGGTCTCCAAAGCCATGCGTCCCCCGTCCAGGGCAGCGTGCACCCCTAAAGCGACATCCCCCCAAGCGGCCCGTGTCTCCTCGCTGCCCCGGGGGGGCCCTGCCCGCGCCGCGCCTCGGAGCTGCTCGGGGACGGTGCCCGGGAACAGCGGGCACCCTCCCGGGACAGCGCGAGTCGGGGCGTCCCGTCCGTCCCGTCCAGTCCAAACGGGCCATTCCGGGAGGGCGGGCGGCGCTCGCAGCCTCCCGGTTTCTCCTCCCCTTCCTGGTGCTGGCGAGCGGCGGCCGCGGATGCCGCTGCGGGGAGCCCGGCCCGGCCCCGGCCGCCCCGCGCCGCCGCCCCCCCGCGGGGGCCCCCACAGGTAACGGGACAGCGACGGTGCAGGCCGGGCCTGGGGAAGCAACGGGGCTGGACGGGGCGGGCAGCGCCGGCATCGTGCGGGGCCGGCGGGGAGCGCGGGGCCGGGGGGCAGTGCCGGGGCGGGGGGCGCCGGGGGGCGGGTTTGGAGCCCCGGCCGGGGTACCCCGAGCCCCGTCGGGAAGGAGGGAGGTAGAGAGGGAGAAAGCGGCGGCCGCAGCTGGGAGGCGCCCGGCCGAGGGGAAGTTGCCGCTGGGTCGCAGCGCTTCCACCCGCCCTGCCCTCCTCTGCCGGTACCGGGTCCGCCGTGGGTGCACGAAGCCGTGCGAGCGGCACCCGGCACTGGGAGCATCCCCACGAGGGACGCGGTGGCCTCACGCAGGCATCCCGTGTCCGGCGAGACGCTCCGTGGTGGCTGCTGCCCCACGGGCGTCGCGTTTCCCCTGGGGTCTGGCTCCAGTTGGGTCGCCAAGGTGCTTCCCACAGGGAGTGTGGGTCCCGTGGGGTCTGGTTCCAGGGGTGGCACAGCGGGGTGCGGCCTGTGCGGATGGCGGATCCCTCGGGGTTGGGATCGGAATGCAGCTCGGCATGTCATGATGCTTCCCATGGGGATCACAGCTCAGCTGCGCTTTGGAGCCCCCATGGACATGCCACCTTAGGTGCAGGCTGGTGGAAAGCAGCCCGTGGAGCTGCAGAACCTCCACGGTGCCCTGGCTGGAGCCAGCCAGCACCCGGCTGGGCGCAGGGGATGGGTGAGCAGCGGGGCGGTGGCTGCAGGGGACCCAGCGTCCTGCCCACGGCACCGTGGAGCCCTGGCCCCCGCGCGTGCCCCGGGAGGGGGACACGGGTCAGCCCCAGCGCCGGCAGCTCGGGGGTCCCCGCAGGGCTTCCTGCTGCCGGGCCGCGGCCCGGAGCCAGCACCACGTGGCCGGGCGCCGGTGACGCTGCGCCCGAGCACGGAAACCTCGCGCGGTTTCGCCCGGCCGCGGCCGCAGCTCCTCCGTGGCGGCGGGCGCCGCGGGGCCCC